ACGCAACTCACAACTCTGTACATATTCGCTGCTGCAGGTGGGGTAGTTGAGGCCTGAAGTGAACTGCTAATGTGGCTCCTGCAGGTTCATCTCTCCTCCTGGCCTACGGCCTTCCGCCCACAGGCCTCCTCCTCCCGCCTGTATGCAGACTTGCAGACTCACGACAGGGACAGTCCTGGAGACCCAAGTGGTCCTGCCAGCACCACTTACTCTAACAATAGTAATCATCTTAGAAGATTGAATTAAAGAGTAAAAAAGAAACGGAAAGGATAACTACTCAAAGGTTAATACAGGTGATGATTTGGCCTGCGGCTGTCCCTTTTTATTCCTCTTTTCTGAAGTCTTCCTTCGTGTGTGTGTAATAGCAGTAAGTATGGAGGACTAAGGGACAGTGGTAGATCAGTAGCAGAATTCTCACTGTCCATGCAGGAGACTGGATTTGATTCCTGACCAGTGCACCTCATGCACAGCCAGCACCCGTCTGTCAGTGGAAGCTTGCAGGTTGCTGTGATGCTGAACAGATTTCAGCAGATTTCAGACTAAGACTGACTAGGAAGAAAGGCCTGGTGATCTACTTCCAAAAGTCAGCCAATGAAAACGCTATGGATCATAGTGGTCCAATCTGTAACTGATCATGAGGATGGTACAGGACTGGGCAATGTTTCGTTCCTTTATGCATGAGGTCACTATGAATTGGGTCAACTCAACAGCAGCTGTCAACAACAACATTGTCTCAGGCTGCGTTCTCTAGAGAAGCAAAACCAATGAAGCATATGTGTATATATATATATATAGAGAGAGAGAGAGAGAGAGAGATTTATCTCAAGGTAATGGCTCATGTGGTTCTAGAAGCTGGCGAGTCCCAAGTCTGTGGGTCAGGTGTCAGTCTGGAGGCTTCTCCTGACTCATGTAGCTGCGGGGGCTGACAAACCCAAGATCAGCAGGCTCCGGTCCCAAGAACTGGAGGTCAGATGATGAAGAGCAGGATGCAGGATCCAGAGCTAACAAAAGCCAGTGAGCTTTGCCAGAATGTCCATATACATTGGATGCAGGCCACACCCCTGAGGAAACTCCCCTTACAACTGATTGGCTGATCACATCAGAGCACATCACGGAGATGATTACATTATATCACAGAATGGAGAATAGCTACATCATTACATAACTGCCAAAATACATCATTATGTAACCGCTAAACCACTGAGAATCATGGCCCAGCCAAGCTGATACACAACCGTAACCATCACAAACGTGGAGGACTAACCAGGAATGGGGAAGGAGTAAATGAGGGTGGGTAAGGCTATGTGAATCAGGACTCGAAAAGTGTAGTCCTCATGATGCAGTGGGTTTGCATCAGCCAGGCTTTCTGCAGTAATGCTGCACCACAAGTCCCCCTGGGCCACAGTGACAAGCACTGGCTGTTCATTGCTTCTGCAGCGTGGCTGGGGTGGCTCCACTTCCAGCTGCAGGTTGGGGTCTCAGGTGTCCCGGAGGTCTCCTCTGGGGCCCAGCTGGGGGGGCCAGCATCTCCCTGGGCATGTTCTTCTCATGCTGAAGGTCGGAAGTTCTGGGTTGGGGGAGAGTATGGAAACACAACACGAGATGCCTGTCACTTTTGCCCACACTCCACTGGTGAAGGGGAGTCAGGATGCCCCACCTGGCATCGGCGGGGTGAGGGCTGAGTGTCACTGTCTGTCACAGGTAGAATGATGCAGATATAACTGGGAGAGACAATACGGAGAATTGGGAAAGTGAAACCAGACAACCAATGTTGCCATCAAGTTGATTCTGATTCATAGCGACCCCTTGTGGTACAGAGTAGAACTGCTCCACAGGGTTTTCTTGGCTGTAATTTTTATGGAAGCAGATCACCAGGTCTTTCTTCCACAGTACTGCTGGGTGGGTTCAAACTGCCAACCTTTAGGTGAATAGTCCAGTGCAAATTGTTTGCACCACCCAGGTCCCCCTGCGGAAGTGGAAGGTATGAGGGAAAGGCACTTCTAAAAAACAATTGCAAAAATTGCTATGGCATATATAATTCTGAAATGTATGTATGTAGCCATATATGTGTATACCAAACAAAAACCAATCGGGTTGCTGTTGATTCCAACTCATAGTGACCCTATAGACAGAGCAAAACTGCCCCATAGGATTTCCAAGGCTGTAATCTTCATGGAAGTAGACTGTCACATCTTTTTCCCATGGAGCAGCTGGTGGGTTCGAACTGCTAATCTTTTGGTTAGCAGCTGAGCTCTAACTACTGCTCCACCAGGGATCCTCTTATATGTGTATAGGTACGTGTATGTGTGTGTGTGTGTGTGTGTGTGTGTGTGTAGGTGTATGCATATGTCTATGCATCTATGTGACTGTATGCACACATATTCATATATATAATAAAGCACAGTTACAGGTACTTCTTAGACATAACCAAACATCTCAAGAGATTGGCTTTCTGGGTTGGAAGGATTAGGATCATAGTCTCATAGGACATCTTGGTCAATTGGCATAATATAGTTCATAAAGTTTATGTTCTATATCCTAGTTTGGTGAGTAGTGTCTGCAGTCTTAAAAGCTTGCAAGTAGCCATCTAAGATACAACTATTGGTCTCTAATCATCTGGAGAAAAAGAGAAAGAAGGAAACCAAAGACTCAGAGAAGAAACTAGTCTACAGGACAGATAGCCTACGCGAACCATGGCCTCATTTACCCTGAGACTAGAAGAACTAGATGATGCCTGGCTACCACTACCGACCATTCTAATCAGGGCCACAGTAGGTGGACCCTGATAGAATTTGAGAAAAACGTGGAACAGAATCTCAAATTCCTAAAAACAAACAAATCAAAACAAAACTAAACAAAAAAACCAACCTACTGGACTGGTTGACACTGGAGGACTCCCTAAGACTATTGCCCTGAGATACTCTTCAAACCTTGAACCAAAACCAACCCGAGGTCACCTTGTAGCTAAATAACAAACTGGCTCAAAAAATAATGAATATCACCTGTAAGTACTGGTGCTTCTTTAAAAAAATCACCTATATGAGACCAAATGGTCAACAATTACTTTAAAACAAAGATGAGAATGTAATGGGTCAGGGACACTAAATTAATGGAAACGAAACAACCAGAACAGAAATAATCAGAATGTTCATGCATTCTGAAGAATGTAACCAATGTCACTGAACAATTTGTATAGAAATTGTTGAATGAGAACCTAAACAACTGTGTAAACCTTCACCCAAACATAATAAAATATTATTTAAAAAATTGCAGATACAGATAATAATAGGGAGAATGAAAGAGCCTATAGAAAAATGGTAAAAAGAACTGTGTGTATGTGTTGTTCAGTCCAGTGCAGTTAAGGTTAATGGAAAAAATACGTGGATAAAGGGGTGCCTGCCTCAAATGTGATCAAAGGGCATCTCACCTGCATGGGGGTCCCCAGGCTTTCCATGTCAGACAAGCGCCCAGGTAAAGGGAGCCAGTTCTTCAGATGAAAACCTGCCTATTTCCCACGTCTGGTCTGCGGCATTACCCCACTGCCAGTATTAGGGGTGATGGACATGTTGATACATGAAGGCTTTCTAGCATCACCCTTGGTGATTGTTGATTTAATGAAAGATTATTTGTCACAGTTATAAATGATCAATTAAAAAAAAAAAAAACCCGTTGCCGTCAAGTTGATTTCAACTCATAGTGACCTTATAGGACAGGGTAGAACTGCCCCCATAGGGTTTCCGAGGAGCAGCTGGTGGACTCGAACTGCTGACCTTTTGGTTAGCATCCGTAGCACTTAACCACGGTGCAACCAGGGCCCCAGAATGGTCAATTGCCCATTGCCCATTGCCGTTGAGTCGATTCCGACTCATAGCGACCCTATAGGACAGAGAAGAACTGCCCCATAGAGTTTCCAAGGAGGTGTCTGAAAAAAATTGCACATTGAGTTAGCTGGTTTAAAACATTTATTATTATTATTAAAAAGTAGAGCATCTACTGGTCTAAGGAAAATCATTTGTTTCACATTATGTGCCATTTTAAATAAAATTATAGTCGATTTTACTGATTTCCTTTCTTTATGTAATTTTACGTTTAGACATTACCTTTTAAATTGGAAGAAGCTCTTCCCTATACTGAGAGTTTCTTCATCTCTCCACCAAGATGCTTGAATTGCATTTTTTTCTTTCTATACCAGTTTTGGAGCCCTGGTGGCGCAGCGGTTAAGAGCTCGGGCTGCCAACCAAAAAGTCGACAGTTCTAATCTACCAGCCATTCCTTGGAAACCCCGTGAGGCAGTTCTACTCTGTCCTATATAGGGTCGCTATAAGTTGGAATCTACTCGACAGCAACGGATTTGGTTTGGGGTCTATGCCATTTTTATTTGCTCAACATTTATTGAATATTTACAACTGGTGAGCATTGTGATTATTGTGATGATAAGATATGGGGTTGTCCTCAGGGAGCCCACAGGACAGACAGGGACACAAACAACTGCAGCTTGTTAGATTAGTCTCCAGTAGAGGCAGGGGCAGGAGTGACCTGGCCAGAGAAGAAGCAAACAGCTCTGATAGGGAAACCAGGCAAGGCTTCAAGGAGGAGTTGCAGCTGGGTCTTGAGGGATGAGTAGGAGTTTAATAGGCCATGCAGTGAGACTGGAAGTTTCTGATGGAGTCACAGAGCTCTGATGACTCATCTCCATGCAAAAGTCAATCTGAGTGAGTTTCAGGTTTACTTATTTACTTCTATCTCCTGTAATTCATCTGTAATTCTCAGTAATTTGTAGCTTAGGTTTCTTAACATTTCTTTTGTATTAATTGTTTTTAGAGTAGGTATTTAAAATAGTTCCTAATTGTGTTTTTCATAGCTTCTGTCAACAGAGATAGTTTGGTTTTATTACTAAAAGATGAACAGGCCATTGTCATGCGTTCTTAATCGGGTAGCGCATGGGTCCGCAACAGGGGCAGAATGCCTTTTAATTGTGAGTTCTGTGTTCCTCTGTCTAGATTAAGTTTGACAGTGTCGAGGTGTGCGTCTGCTGTGAAATGCAGCATCAGTCATCCGGCTGCAGCAACCTTGGGGAGACGCTGAAGCTGAACCCGCTGCAGGAAGACTGCAACGCTGTGCGGCTCACGTTGAAGGTGCGGCCAGGGGCACTGCTGGGTCCATGCACTCCATCCCATGTGCGCAGGCGTGCTAGGGAGAGTCACTAGGATGCGCGCATGCTCCTTTCCGTCACTCATTCATCTGGGTAGGTTCAAGGCAAGAGGGAATATCTTTCCCGAGAGCAAGTCAAAGGATTATAGATTTTCATTTGGGAGCTTTTGCTTTCTAGACTTATTTTACATTTTTACCACTCCGTTATCCTGCCTCTGACATTTGTCGATGTGATTCATTCTGCTGCTCTGAACCTTTTTGCTGTCATGCCATCAGGGAACAGAGGGGTATTTGTTATTTTAAAATATATTCGGAGAAAGAAGTTTTATAATCTCCCATGGCAATCCATTCTAGTACATAGCATCTGATTCTTTGAAAATGATATGGAAAAATTGTTCATATTGCTCCTTTTTTTTTTATTCCTACAAGTGTATTTTTTTTCCTGAAAATTAAAATTGGCCGTTTAAAATGTGCATAAGCCATGAACCCACTTCTCCTCTTTTCCCTGAATGAAACTGCACTGAAATTCTTCAGAAAGGTGCCACGGTGGTCAAAGGAACCCTTGGTTGGTGGCCCACGTAAACTGTTTTACAGGTGTAGGGGACTGGAGGCGCCACAGCATGCCACCCTCGCATCTGGGCAAAAAGAGGAGAGTGTTGCTCTCTGGAATGGCTGGCATGTGAGTAGTCTCCCATGGGCGTCAGCGGAGGCCAGTCAGGTGGTGTGCCGGCAAGAAGGACCACTGGTCTGGGTGAGCTTCTGGTTTCTCTGGTCCACCTCAAAACTGGCAGACAAGAGAGGATGCCCAAACACAGAGGATGCACTAATCTACATGGGAAGTGGGCCTGGCTCCCTGGTCCCTCCTGTTTCTCATGGAGGAAAGGTCAAAGTGCAGTGGTCCCGGTAGCCCCCAGAGTGACCAATCCAGCAGAGCCAGAGGACCCAGAACTGCAGCACTCAAGAGCCCATCCTGTTACAGTTGGAGGCATTTCCTGCTGTTCCATATTACTTATGACCACGGTTTATATCCCATGATGTCATGAGGTCTGCACAGGACTCAGTGCTAAAGGCCTCCCGTGGCCTCTCACAGCCCTCCTTGGATGGGAGGTAGGTAGCCATTGCTCACTCTTATGGCTCCTTCTGACAGCTCCCAAGGATGCTGCCTTATCAACCTGGGCAGGTTTGATTTCTATATTTGAAAAACATTACAAATAATAACTCTAACTCATGGCGACCCCAAGTGCATCAGAGTGGAACTGTGCTCCATAGGGTTTCAATGGCTGATTTTCGAAGGTAGACTACCAGTCCTTTCTTCTGAGGTGCTAATGGATGGATTGGAACCGCCAGCCATTCAGTTAATGTGTTGTGCCACCCAGGGAATCCAACATAGTAGAGGGAATTATAATTAAAATGTTCAATCACCTACCCCCTCGAAGAGCTGACAAATCCCAGGGGGCAGATTTCAGGCCTGGAGGCTGCTTGAGTGTGCACTGCTCCATGGATGGGTTGGGGGTCTTTGGCCTATGCCCCCAAGGCAGGCTTTGGAGTTCTCCTTGACATGTTCACTGAGTGGGACACCTCCCAGGACCTGTCTTCATGAACCTCCAAATCTGAGAGGTGACTGTGGCTTGAAAGGTAACAGTGGTGTTGGAACACCTATGCTGTCTCTGGGAATGCAGGCCCTGTGGTCCACCCTTGGTCACTGTACTGGTACTCTGACAAGAAAACCACGGGGCTAGAATGGAATGGGAGTGATGCACATTGGCGTCAAGAAGTTCAAGTCAAGGCTAGGGAGCTAGACGGATGGCTCATCCCCATGGATGTTCACATTAAATTGCCCAGGATGATGATAAGAGTTGACAGCAGAAGAAAGACTCCAACCAACTTCTTAATGAACTTGTTAGAAACCCATAGCAAGTAGAAGTAGGGACTGTCAGAGCTGATGGTATGGGGCTCAGAATTTCTGATTGAGGTCTGGAAGTAGCAGCAGTGACTCAGGCTTTAGGCAAATGAGCAGGCTGCCCCCTAAGGGCTTGCAAAGGGAGTAGTGGCCTTGCAGGGAGCTGAGTTTGACAGAGTAATGTTATGCGCATTGAATATAATCATAAAATAATTGGGCTTGCATTTTATGTGCCTTTATTATTATTTCATTTTTCTAGTAATTTGTTTTTATTGTATTTTTTGTAAAAGTATTGGTACATGTTATGGATTGAATCGTGTCCCCCTAAAATGTGTGTCAACTTGGTTAGGCCATGGTTCCTAGTATTGTATGGTTGTCTTCCATTTTGTGATCTGATAAAATTATCCATGTTCTTTTCCATTTTCTACATCCTAAGCAGAACCTGGAATTCATTAACCATAATACCATATATAATTTTTTGACCTGGGCATAGAATTCTTGAGGGATACTCTCCTTTTTTTTCCTTAAGGATTCATAAATGGTGTGCCATTCTTTTGGCACTGAATATTGCTGTAGGGAAAATCTTGAAGTCAGCCTAACATTTTCTGCCGTTTAGGTATTTGGTGTCATTAACGACCTTTAAAAATATTTCTAGCTCTTCAACTTCTCCTTACATGGTAAGATTGTACTTCCTAGTCCCTTTATTGTTACTTAGGGCCATGTGGGCAGAAATTACATGTATCATTTCCAAGATGCAGCATGTAGCTTGGGGTGAGCTTCTCCAGTGCTCTCTTGACCTCTGGCACAGTAAGTGGCAGATTATAGATGGTGGCTGCCCCATCAGCCTGGGCAACTGCATTGAGCTGAGCCCCCTGTAGCTCGCCCACACTGGACATGTAGCATGAGGAGAAATAAAGTTCTATTGTTTTAACCCCCTGAGATTTGGGGGATATTTGTTACCACAGCATAACCTAGTCCATCCTGTCTGACACAAGACAGCTTTTTTTATTTTTATCCAGATGCCAATAGTAGTCTTAAATTATCAGATCCATTAACCTCATTTCATATTGATCAATCTTAATCACTTGTTCCATAGTACACAGTGTGTGCCCTTTCAACCTGTGAATTTGCATCTTGCTTTATAGCTTTCTTGAACTCTAGATTTGAATTTTTTCTGTTTTCTTTTTCTGCATCTCTGTGCATTTCTTGGACCACTTTTATCTGTTTTTCATAACTATCATTTTTCTCTCAGATTTTTAAAACTCTTCCTTTTTCATTTGCTTTCGCTCATTTTTTGTAAAGCCTCTCCTCCTAGCTACTTTTTCTGTGGTGAGTGTTCTCGTTTTGCCCAGCTTTCTGTGCAGTCTTGAGTTTTGGCAGTTCACTTTTCGACTTCCTCTTTCCCTTGTACCTCTCTGTGTTCAGCTCTCACATCACAGCTGCCTTGCACTGTGGTTGCTCACAGTGCCACCTACAGATGTCTCGAGCTAATTAATTACCGTAGGGTTTTCAGTGTGCTTTACATTTCTTACATCTCTCTCTGAAGTGTATGAATACTGCAAAGCATTAAAGTGAATTCCTCACCCGAAAGCACTGACTCTGTATCCAGCACTTTGCCCTGTGTTAATAGACTTTAGCTTAATTAAGATTGTGTACTTCCTTTGCAGAAATATAAGTATTTCTGCCTCTGAGATTCATATGGGTCTGTGTGCCATGTTACCTAGTTTTTGAATAACTAGTGGTACAGTAATTTTTAATATAATCATTATTCTTCAAAAGTCGTTAAAGCCAAGCTGTGCTTGATGGCTTCCCTGCAGTGAAGGGTCTCCCTCCACCGGGGACCTGGTGTTGCTCTCCTGGTACTATTAAACACGTGGGCACCAGAGTGGAAGTTGAGTCACTCTGGGAAAAGGCTACTCTGCTCATCTGCACAGATTTCCATGGGAGCTGTCGCCTATAGGCCCCAATGCAAAGACCAAACTAGTTGTCATGGATCCACTCTGACTCATGGCGACCCCACGTGTGTCAGAGTAGAACACAGGGTTTTCAACGGCTGCTTTTTCAGAAGTAGATCACCAGGCCTTTTTCTGAGGCGCCTCTGAAAAAAAAAAACCAAACCTGTTGCCATTGAGTCGATTCTGACTCATAACGACCCTATGGCGCCTCTGGGTGGACTCAAACCACCAACCTTTCGGTTAGCAACTGAGCACTTTAACCATTTGCACCACCCAGGGGAAGGACTACTCCTACAGGCCTCAGAGCTTGCAGATATTCTTGGCACTTAGCAAAAGAGGGAGCTAAGGAAATGTTACTTTGATTAGTTCTTGCTGCCTCTTTTTTGATCAGCAATTAGAGCTGTTTCATTGATCTTTTACATCGTCTGACTTGAGGCTCTATTTATCTGATTAGTAATACTCTGCATCTAAGGTTCCATATTAAATTATGGATTAGCCATGCTTTGTTTCTAATGAGCTCAGTTTATGCTGGGGAAATCCCATATAATTGGCTTGGAAATTAAAGCCCTTTTGATTATAGTTGTGCTTGAGTTAAGTGATACTGACTTAATGAGATTGTCTAACTACTTACTTACTGCTTTGCTGCCACCAGCACCACATCCTACCTCCACCAGCACCTGGAAGGTTACACAGGCACAGCCCAGCATCAGTTTAAAAAAAAAAGCAAAAGCCGATCTTGTTCTTGGCTGATGAGGAACAATATACATTTGGCGCCAGAAGATGGTGCAGACATTGCTTCGCTAGTCCCTCAGATTGTCTTTCTGTGGTTTGGATACTACTTCCCCCTCTCTCTTGACCAGCCCTTCCGAACCACCCCACTCCTGGACTCTCACCTTCTTCAGCAGAGAGCCTGTCGGGCAAACAGGCCTCTCTCGAGGGTATTGATAGTGTATTCAGCCTGATGCCTCATGTCATGTTAAAATCCTGCTGTTCTGTGCTACCAGGATGAGGGCAGGACAAAGGGCATGGGGAGAGGGTGCCTAGAATTACCCTTGCCAGGCAGAGATTCAGAGAATTGTAGAGCAGAGGGATGGGGGCACCTGTTATCCATCCCCCCTCCCATTGTGTG